ACATAGATATTACAAGAAAATTACAGACAAATGTCCATCATGAACATAGGTGTAAAAAATCCTCAACAAAATGCTAGCACAGATGAAATTTATATCAAGAATACAAGGTTTATTTCACATTTGAAATCAGTACAATTTAACATATGGACAAAATGAAGGAGAAAATGAATCGAATCATCTCAATCAGTACAGAAAAATCATTTGAGAAAATGGCACACTCTTTCATGACTAAAAACAGCTCTCAAAAAATTAGAAATAGAAGAGAACATCCTCCCTTGAACTGAGCTGCCACCCAGATGGCTCAGTGGATAGAGCGTGCACTCTTAACAACAAGGCTGCTGGTTCAACTCCTGCATGGGATGGTGACTACGCCCACCTGCAACTAAGATTGACCACAGCACCTTGAGCTTAGAGGCCACAAGCTGCTGACAGGGAGCCAGATGGCAACTGGCACCCTCCACAACAAAGACTGAAGAACAACAACTTGGCTGGTCCCCCTTCCCAATTCCCCAACACTGTTCTCCTCCCCCAATTCCCCAATAAAATCTTTAAAAATAATATTAATTAAAAAAAATTAAAAAATAAAAAAAAGAACATCCTCAATCTGATAAAGGAAACCTCCATCTGATAGCATATTTAATAGAAACATAGTGAACACTTTCCTTCTATGATCAGGAACAATGCAAGGCTTTGTACTCTCATCACTTCTATTTAGTATATGCTGGAGGTCCTAGCCAGTGCAGTAATGCAAAGAAAGAAAGGGAGGGAGGGAGGGAGGAAGGAAGGAAGGAAAGAAAGAAGAAAGAAAGGAAGGAAGGAAGGATATAAAGATTGAAAAAAGCAGAAGTAAAAGTATTTACTGAAGATATGATTATTTATGTAGAAAATCATCAGGAACCTACAAAACAACTACTCGTACTCATGAGCAAATTAAGCAAGGCCACAAGAAACAAGGTCTGTATACAAAAATCATGGTATTTCCATATACTAATAACATTTGGCTGGTAATTGATATTTTAAAATTTATTTTCATCATGTCAGAAAACAAATTAGGAATAAATTTAACAAAAAATGTGTAAGACTTCTAAATTGAAAACTATAAAACATTGTGAAACAAATTAAACAAGGACTAAATAAATGAAGAGATATGTGTATGCCATGTAAGTTGATTGGGAGACAATATTATTCTTCCCAAATTGGTCTATAGATTCAACACAATCCAAATTAAATTCTCAGCAACTTTTTAATAGAAAATGATAAGTGGATCCTAAAATCTATATGGAAAAGCAAGGGCCAAACAAACCTTGAACAAAACCAAGTTTAAGAGTTTTTTTAACTAGTTTCAAGACTCACTATAAATCTACAGTAATCAAGGCAGTGTGACATTTGTGTAAAAATGGACAAATGGATAAATGAAAAAAATGGATCAATAGAGTCCAGAAATAGATCCACACATACGTATAGTAAATTGATTTTCAACAAAATAACAAGACATCTCCACGAGGAAAGGAGAATTTTTAACAAATGATGTTGAGAAGACTAGATAAACATATAGAAAGAAATAAACCCCCACACACTACTACCTCACACAATACACAAATTAATTAGGGATGGATGGTAGACTAAATGTAAAAATCAAAACTATAAAGATCTAGAAAGACACATAGGAAGAAAGTATTTTTGCAACTTTTGGCTAGGCAAGGATTTTTTTAGGTCATAGAAAGCGTTACTATAAATAACAATAAACTGGACTGAATGGAAATTAAAAACTTCTGCTAATCAAAAGTCATCATTAAGCAATAAGTCAACCTAGCTAAAGCATATATGGGTTTCTGTATACTGTTTTTGATACTTTTCCCTAAGTTTGAAATTGTTTCTATTTAGAAATTTTTTTAAAAAATTAAGATAATAGGTGAGAAAATAGTCACAATACATATGTCTAAGCACATGTATCCACAATAAAGAACTCTTACAATTATAAGGAAACAACCCAATAAAAACTGAGTAAAAGATATAACAGACATTTCACAACATACACCAGTAAATACATGTAAAAAAATACATGTAAAAGTGTTCAGTGTCATTATTCATAAAAGGAATACTAGTAAAATCACAATAATATCCATTTCATATCCACTAGAACTGGTTCCCAATAAAGTCTGATAGCACCTAGAGTTGGTAAGGATGTGGGACCGCTGCAAGCACTTTGGAGAGCTGTTCCTACAAGGTTATGTATACTCGTGTATCTTCCCAGTGACCCAATAATCCCATTTCTAATTGTCAAGAAAATGAAAATACATGTCCACAAGAAGACTATAAGCATTTTCCTACAGGTTTCATAAGAAACCAATATTGAAAACAAATGTTCATCAACAGGAAAATGGTTACTTGAAGCGTTGTGTAGCCATACAAAACTCAGCAATTAAAAAAAAAAAGAATGATTGGTACATGCTACAACATATGTGAATCTCAAAAACATCACGTTAAGTGAAAGAAGCCAATCACAAAAGAATATAGTCTATACTAGTCCATTGATAAGAAGTTTTAGAATGGACAAAACTTTTCAATGATAATAGAAATCAGGAGTGAGGATTAAGGGGCCAGGAAGCAACTTTCTAGGGTGATGGAAATGTCCTGTATTTGGATTGGAGTAGTGATTGCATGTGTGTATACATGTATGAAAACGCATGAGATTGTACCCTGAAATCTGTACATTTCAGTTTTACAAAGTTTAGCCCAATAAAGAAATAAAAGAGAACATAACAATTCATTTTTATGATATCCATTCATCATGCAGGGTAGAATGTTGACTCTCTAATAGCTTCCTATTGTGAAAAATAAACGTGTAAACCTCTTGCCTTGGCATAATGACCCTGCATGATTTGGCTCTTGCCTACCCTTTCTACTTCATGCCCTCCCTTACCTACTAGCTCCTACCCCTGCTGGCTTTACTGCATAGAAATAAGTAATTTCTTGACATTTTCTAGCTTAGTCTCTTGTTTTTTTTCAATGCATTTACGACACTTGCAGTTATTGTGTCTCTTTATCCTTTTTTCAGCTGCCTTTTCCACTAGAATAGAAGCTCCAGGAGGATAGGAACCTTGCCTTTTTACTATTGTGTTCCTCAGTGTATTCACTGGGTATTGCCTGGCTCAGCGAGTATTTGCTGAACATGTGACTGATGAAGAAATGAGTGAACGAATGTTACTCTTGTTCTATATGTTGATAAGGTGGTAGTATACTCAAATGTTCCTCTGTTTGGAATTTGATCCTTACCTGATTCAAATAAAAACTACACACTCTTATCCCTATAAATAAAGCAAACTGTTAATAAAATCTTTAATAAATGAGGTTTTGGTTGATACAACCAAACTTTTTGTTTGATGTAAGGGAACCATTTTCCCCTTTTCTTTCCAGAATCCCTTGATAGTCTTTCCTTCTATTTCCTATTCAGTGCTCCTTTCAAATGAGACCTAATAGAATTGCTTATGACAATGCTTTCCAAATATATTGGATCCTGTACCCTATTGGCAAAACATTTGAGCACACTAACCACATAGGTACATTTATTTATTTCAAAAATATATAAATGTTACTGTATTACTATGTAATGAAATGTGCACAGAAATAACATTTTAAAGGGATGCTGAAAGATCGTTTTAATTTTCCTCCACTTCCATGGATGGTTGTGTACCACCCTCCTTCCCATGTGCTCATCCCACTTTGAAGACACTGCCTTGGGGCAGATATTATATAGTACATTTGCTTATACATCTAAGTGTAAAACTATTGTAGTGTTAACACTTTTGCATTTTAAACCTTACTTCTAACTATGGATTGAAAGACTTTATTGCTTTTTAAATGAACTTATGGCCTCATTTAGTGCAAATAGGGTAAAATTTTTAGCTTTACGGGCATGCTCTGAAATTCTCTCATCTAATTTTTACTGTATGTATTCTTAACATTGTTCAATTAATAGTTTTCTATAGAAAATATGTAGAGTACTTTAGAGGAAGGAAATAATGAGATTTTAAAAAGTGGGAAGGGGAAGCAAGAAAGAGCTATAGAAAAGGCTATGTTGATTTTAAAAAAATAGTTAATTACACTATAAATATTGGTAGCTGTGTATTTGAATGAAATGTCTCCTGGGGAAATTGCTAATTATAGAAAATTAACAGTTAAAATATGTTGAAAAGGTTTCTAAAAACAGGGGGAAATCGCTATTCACCAATAAAAAAATAGTCTTTCAGGAAACATCAATTCTACCATATAGCAGCCTAAGACAGGTTTGGAAAGTTTAAGCCTGCTGTGTTACCTCTGAGACCTAAAGGTAGCAGAACATAAAAATGAGCCTCTATCAATTTGAAGTAAACCTAATCTTTGTGATCATGGCTGTGGTCTAAATCTATTAAATATGTTCAAATTCAGTATCCTTGGTATCACTGCGGATTGACCTGAATAGTGAGCAATAAACTTGTGTATTATAATTCTGGTTTGAAGATATGTGCTTATGAAGTGAAACCGACAGTCAGTATTTTGTGTCTGTCTCTAAGCAGACTAAGATCCTGTATAAAAATGACAGGTGCATTTTTAGGGAAAGAAACCCATAATGTTTTCCTATTTAGTAGGTGACAGTATGTTCCAAGATAACATAAGCTTAAGGGGCTGGAACAAGCGTGGTTATTAAAGACTAGCAGTTTCTCAGTTCATACAAATTGAATTTTTTTCGTAGGCTGGAAGACTGTGGAAACCTAGTATAAAGTACTGAAATAAATTAGCATATTAAGTGAATTTATATATTCAAACTTAAGAGCACTTTGAACTTAAGGAAGAAATTTTATTACTTCTTGAAAGAAAAAAGGCAATTCTTAAATTCTGTGTTTGATCTCCCTGTTGGAAAGGGCCTGTATGATAAATGATATCATTTTGATGATTATCCAAAGATGTGGTTATTATATTGATGGAAATCTTTCTCTCTTCTTTCCTCTTTCTTTTTTCAGAATAACTGATTTAGGGAATATCAAAAGAAGATTGTACTTATCAACGGTCCATAAAGAATTGTCCTCAACCCCTCTTCATGCAAAAATCCCACTCTTCATGATCAAGCGCAAAATTGTAAGTGTCACATGAATATTGCTTAAAATATTAAGTTCACTTTAGCAAATATTAGTTATGGGCCTAGTCTGAGTATAAGACTAGGTGGTATAAAAATTAACTATGGTGATATAAAAATGTATAAAATTCATGCATCTTCCTTTCCCTCACATGAAAATGCTTAAAATTTTGCTAAGTAGGAGACTATAATTATTCGAATATCAAGAATACCACCAAAATTATAATGAAAAGCACAGTGGAGAGGGAAGGTGCTACTGGTACTGTGAAAGGGAAAGAAATCCGTCTGACTTCAGGATAAGAAAAAGCTGCATGAAAGAGATTGCACTTAGCATGGACACTGAAGGACTGTAAGATTTCAACAGGTAGAAGTGGGAAGCCAAGCATTCCAAGCAGAAGGAATGGCCTGGAGCCTGGAAAGTGATATGTATTTGGAGAACAAAGAATGATTGATTATTGTTGCCAGATTTTTAAAAAAATAACTTTAAGGAAAATCAGTCCTGTAATATAACAGCCCAATATAAGTTGGGAGATTTTATGCCTGTTGTATAACCTTTGACACCTAAAGCAACAGATTACAGGCCAAGAAACTTGGACCTCTGATGTAACTGAGAAGTCTTTCTCAAATTTCAGTCATTTTAATACATCTGTCCTGACTACCATGTTTGTGTACTATCTGTTCTAATATGTACTTAATCTTTTCCTTTAAATCGACTGACTTTGTGGGGGGGCTTAAATTATTTTAAAAGAAAACTGTAACCACTTACCAAATGCATAAATACCAGTGTAAACAATCAAGGCTCATGAAAACTCAGGTAAGTATGACACCAGCAAAGGAAACCAATACAGCTCTAGTAACTTCTCCTAAAGTCCACAGCTACTATCATACTTAATAGAGAAAGCTTGAATGATTTTCCTCTAAGAACACGAACAAGACAAGGGTGCCCACTATCACCATTCATATTCAACATAGTACTGGAAGTTCGTACTAGAGTAATCAGGCAAGAAAAAGAAATAAAAGGAGAAGAAAGATTGTATCTATTCACAGATGAACATGATTTTACATGTAGAAAATGCTAAAAATGCCACACACAAAAAAAAAACCTGTTAGATCTAATCAACAAATGCAGTGAAGTTGGAGGACACAAAATTTGCATGCAAAAATTAATAGCATTTCTATACTGTAACAAGAATTATCTGAAAAAAAGAAATCAATTCCATTTACAACAGCATCAAAAAATTTTAAATACTTAGGAATACACTTAACCAAGGAGGTGAAAGATCTCTACTCTAAAAACTACAAGACAATGATGAAAGAAATCAAACAAGACACAAGTAAATGAAAAGGTATCTTGTATTCATGGATTGGAAGAATTAATATTCTTAAAATGTCCATACTAACAAAAGCCATCTAATGCAATGCAAACCCTACCAAGATTCCAGCAGCATTTTTAAAATATTATTTTTTTACACTTTATTTTAACATTCAATATTATATTAATTTCATGTGTACAGCGTAGTGGTTACACATTTATATTATATATTTTTTTAAAGATTTTATTGGGGAATTGGAGGAGGGAACAGCATTAGGGAATCTGGGAAGGGGAACAGACACGTTGCTGTCCTTTTGTTCTTCAGTCTAGTTGTGGAGGACGTCACTTCACTGGCCCATGTTGGTATTGTGATCATTGCGCTCTTCCTAGCTGAGGCAGATCAGTTGCTGGCCATTGGACAGCCGTTCACAGCAGCTCATGGCAGCTCATTCCAGCTGCCGGTCACTCACGGTAGCTTACAGCAGCCCACTGCAGCCTATGCGGTCACCAGAGACTCATGGCAGCCCAGCTCCAGGTCGAGCTGTTGTTCACCATCTTAGCTGTAGAGGGTGCAGCGTCACTGGCCCTCATGTGGGATCCGAACTGGGGCCCTGCTGCTCAGAGCTGGCGTCCCAAGCCAACTCTTAACCAACGCACCACTCAGCCAGCCCCCTATATTATATAATTTAAGAAGTGATCCCACTGACTAGTCTAGTACCCACCTGAAACTATACATAGTTATTACCATATTATTACTATATTCTCTTTACATCCCCATGACTATTTTGTAATGACCAATTTGTACTTCTTAATCCATCCACCTTTTTCTCCCTGCCCCCCAACTCCCCTCTGATCTATCACCCTAATAAATCTAGTACCCATCTGACACCATACATAGTTATTACAATATTATCGACTATATTCCTTATGCTATACCCTACATCCCCATGGCTACTGTGTAACAACAAATTTGTACTTCTTAATTCCTTCCTCTTTTTCACCCCCCCCCCACTCCCCTCCCATCTGGCAATCATCAAAATGTTCTCTGTATCCATGAGTTTGTTTCTGTTTTGTATGTTTGTTTGTTTGTTTGTTTGTTTGTTTTGTTCTTTAGATTCCACATATAAGCTGAATCACATTGCATATGTCCTTCTCTGTCTGATATACTCCACTCAACATAATACTCTCCAAGTCCATCCATGCTGTTGGCAGATGGCAAGAACCCATTCCCGTTCATGGCCAAGCAATATACCACCTACTCTTTATCCATTCATCCTTCAGTGGACACCCAGGCTGCCTCCACATCTTGGCCATTGTAAACAATGCTGCAGTGAACATATGGATGCACATGTCCCCTTGAAGTAGCTGGGTTTCTTGTGATAAATACCAGGAAATGGGATTACTGGGTCCTTCTTTGTCTCTTGTTATAGCCTTTGTTGTTGGTGTTGGTGGTGGTTTTGGCCAATAGATTGTATATTTTAATTTTCTCACTATATGAAACTCAAACATTTCATTTTTAAGTAAACTGTAACTTCAGTAGACCACAATACAGAAAGATTTTATCACATAGAGTAGTTTCCATTTAGCCAGTCAACTGTTTCTAACTGTCTTAATCGGGATGGCTGCATTTACATAACTGGCTGTGCTTGGCCCTTCTTTGCAAGCAGCTTTAGATCTGCAACAGATTTGGCAATTGTCTCCTTTTTCTGCTGCGCAGAGATGCTCTGTACCACATGCTTCTCCACCCAGTTAGCCTTCGTTTTAAAGTCTTATTTTGTCTGGTATAAGTATTTCTACTCCAGCTTTTGTTTGTTTGTTTGTTTGTTTGTTTGTTTGTTTGTTTGTTTTTTCATTTCCATGTTCATGAAATAACTTTTTCCATTCTTTTACTTTTAGTTTTGTGTGTCTTTCAATCTGAATTGAGCCTCTTGTAGGCAGCATATGTAAGAGTTTGTTTTCTTATCCATTCAGCCACCCTATTTTTTTTATTCAAGCATTTAATGTACATTACCTTTAAAGTATGTTGACAAATGTGTAGTTATTGCCATTTTGTTATTCGTATTTTTATCTTTTTTTTCTTAAAGAGTCTCTTTAATATTTCTTTGTAACATTGGTTTGGTGCTGATGAGCTCCTTTAGCTTTTTCTTGTCTGGGAAGCTCTATCTGTCCTTCGATTCTAAATGATAGCTGGGTAGAATAATCTTGGTTGTAGGTTCATGCTATTAATCACTTTGAATATTTCGTGCCTATCCCTCTGGTCTTCAAAGTTTCTGTGGAGGAAACAGCTGGCAGTCTTATGGGAGCTCCCTTGTAGATAAATAAGTGCTTTTCTCTTGCTGCCTTTAAGAGTATTTCTTTATCTTTAAGCTTTGGGATTTTAATTATGATGTGTCTTGGTGTGGGGCTGTTTGGATTCATCTTGTTTGGGACTCTCTGTGATCCCTGGACTTGTATGTCTATTTCCATTGCAAGGTTAGAGAAGTTTTCTATGATTATTTATTCAAATAGATTCTCAATCCCTTGCTTTCTCTTCTCCTTCTGATGTCCCTATGATGTGAATGTTGTTGTGCTTGATGTTGTCCCAGAGGCCCCTTAAGCTATCCTCACTTTTTTGGATTCTTTTTTCTTTTTGCTGTTCTGATTGGGTGTTTTCTGCTACCTTATCTGCTAAATCACTGGTTCAGTCCTCTGCTTCCTCTAATCTGTTGATTTTCTCTAATGTATGCATTATTTCAGTTATTGAATTTTTCACTTCTGAATGGTTCTTTTTCATGTTTTCTATCACCATTTTTATGTTTCCTATTTCTTTGTTGAAGTTCTCCATGAGATCATTGAGCACCCTTATAACCAGTGTTTGGAACTCTGCATCTGGTAGATTACTTGTCTCCATTTTGTTTAGTTCTTTTTCTGGAGCTTTGTTCTGTTCTTTCATTTGAGACGTCTTTCCTTGTGTCCCCATTTTTGTTGCCTCCCTGTGTTTGTTTCTGTGTATTAGATTGAGCTGCTATGTGTCCCAGTCTTAGTAGAGTGGCCTTATGTAGTAGGTGTCCTGTGGCGCCCAATGGTGCACCTGAGTGGGTGCTCCAGGTGTGTCCCTTGTGTGGGTTGTGTGTGCTCCTGTTGTCGTTGAGCCTTGGTTGCTGTTTGCATGTCAGTGGAAGGGATTGACCTAAGGCTGATTGGTTGTGAGGACTGGACGTGACTATGGTGGAAGAGCTGCTGTGCAGGGGCTGATCCTACAGAGCACGATTTGCTTTAGTGTGGTTCTGGCGCCTGCCCAGTCTGCCCTTTGGTTGTGTCTTTTGTAGAGGTGGTCGGGTAGTGCTCTGATGTGGTCTGAAGCTGGCCACCAGGTATGTTGGTTCTGGGGCCTCTTGGGAGGGCCTCTGTTGCAGGCTGAGATCAAACACTGCCTATGCTCTGCCCAAGGGCACTTTATATGAGCTACAAAGTGATCTGCAGATCATTTTCACTTGTGCTGGGCTTGGAGGTCCCTGGAAGAGGCCAAGCTGCCAACTGAGGCTGGCTGCTACTAGTGCCAGGCTTGAGGCAGCTTAGCAAGAGGTATGGGGCATGCCAAGGCCAGATGCTGCATGCTTGGGACTTGCAAACCTTTAAGAAATTTTAATAAAGCCTGAAGTATGAGTCAAGACAAACAGTTTGTATGGAAGTGGCTTAGGTGGGCCCACA